CTTTCTTTCTTTCTTTCTTTCTTTCTTTCTTTCTTTCTTTCTTTCTTCCTTTCTTTCTTTCTTTTCTTTCTTTTCTTTCCAGTACTGGAAATGATGTTAGGATGTCACGAATGCCAGGTGGTACTCTAGCACTGAGCTACATCCCCAGCCTTTTTGGATCTTCACTTCATTGTGTGTGTGTGTGTAATTTATGTGTACCGCATGCATTTAGATGCTCACTAAGGTTAGAAGACGATGTTGAGTCTGCTGGAATTGGCTATAGGAAGCTGTGAACTGCCTCATGTTGGGGCTGGGAACCAAAACTAGGTCTTTGGCAAGAACAGTTAGACCTCAGCCACCAGCCATCTCCACCCCACCCCCCTTTTTGGAGATAAATGTCTCACACTGTACCTCAGGCAGTCTTCAAACTCCTGATCCTCCTGCCTCAGCTTCCTGAATGCTGAGATCACAGGCATGTGACACACCATGCCTGACTGTGCTACCATTTTGCTGATGTAATTTTTCCCCATTCATTAAGGTCAGCAAAGCCATTGATTCCTTCCCACGCAGTAGCGTCAGCAAGCACTGCCTGGTCATCAGTCAGCCAAGAGATGCTTGTAATACTTATCTGGAAGTCCTGTGACAATGGATCATCCCATTTCACAGACAAGGAAATGGAGGGATGCGTTAGAAGAACAGGATGCTAGCAGAAACAGGGCCAGTGCTAGACGTACTGTCAGAACCTAGGAGGCAGGCTGGGAGAGCCCATGGGGACAGGCACACTCACCCCTCTGGCAGGAAGGCAGGTCCTCACTCCAGCTTAGGTCCCACTGGCACATGAGAACACTGGATCCCACCACCTGGTAGCCGGGGTAGCACTGGTAGGTGACCACTGTGCCGTGCACCAGCTCAGGCTGTGATGGGTTCTTCCAGCCATTGGGGATCTCCGGTAGCTCCGGACACGTGTCATTGCGGGGCACCTCTGGGGACACAAGCAGGCCATGCAGCCCCTCAGCCAGCACCAAAGTCGCTGTGCTAGTGCCAACCCTGAGGTTCCTTTGGTTCTTGCAGATTCTCCTGGGACTAGGCTAGACAGAACCGGCTCAGTGACTCATCCTCTGTTCCCAAGTCCCCCCTTCCCCCCTGTCCCCTGACATCACTGGGTCTCCAAGGTTTCAGGGTTGTCATCTTGGTGTTGGCTCTGCTCTCAGAAGCTCTTGTTCAGTCCCTCAGGCCCCAGAGAGGGGCGAAAGCAGGGTGAGGGAGAGCATCACTTCCCTTTGCCCAAGGCTGTCAGGAAGGAAGGCACCAACACTTTTCTGTAGCTCCCTGTTTTTGTAAAGAAGTTCTTCCTGCTGCCTCCCAGATCTCTCTTCCTCTAACAGGCTCCTGGTGATACTTGGGGCCTTCCCAGGTTTCCCTTGTCTGAAAGGGCATCCCGGCTCCTTGTTGGCCTGCACTCTTTGACTTGCTAGGCAGGGACAAACTCACCAAAGAAGTGGATGACAAATCCCTGCTGGTAGCCCAGCACGGAGGTCCCAGGGTCTGACTGGAACTGGATGGTGACATCAGCCATGGAGGTAAAGAGCTTGAAGTGGCCACGGGGCCCTGAGTACTGGCCCAGGACTCGGGCTGTCAGGTCATCCCCATCGTAGATGGTCAGTACGTCCCCAGAGCCTATGCGCAGCCTGTAGAGGAGGAAGATCAGGGCGGCAGGACGGGCTGGGGGAGGCGCCCAGGATGGGCAGGAGCAGGCTCGCCTGACCCGAGGCACTCACACTCGGACGTCCAGCATGATGCGCTTGTCCTCCTCCACGTGTACACCCCAGATGCAGTCCTGCCCCCGGCCATAAGGCTCTGGCCAGTTTGGAGAGAGCACCACGCCTGCAGAATCTGTGATCTCCCCGCTGCACACGGCTGCAAGGAAGGGGAGCCCGGGAAGGCGCATTCTCTCCACTATGGTGTCCTGGGGCTGCCACCTGCCCGAAGGAATGCCCCGCCCACTACGAGTGGACCCCAGCTCCGCCCTCTAGGGGAAATACCAATCACACCTAACAGGGCCTCTGGCCCCTGGCCCTGTGGCTGGCTCCTGAGCACCCACCCAGCTTGCCGCCCTGGCAGGCCCACCCACTGGTGCCCGCTGACCTCGGCAGGCTGGCTCTGTCTCATTCCACTGGGGGTCGTGGAGGTCGACACACTCGATGATGATGGAGCCCTGCTCCAGGGTGTAGCCAGGGTCACAGCTGAACTCCACGGTGGTACCCACAGGGTAGGAGGGTGCGCTGCTGCTGAAGTTGCCGTATTTGACAAAGGGCTCATAGCAGTGCCCTTGCTGGAAGGCTGTGAACCACAGTGCCCAACCCAGCTCAGCCTCCACTGGGAAAGGCCAGAGGTCAGGCGTTCTCCCACTTCTCTCCTCAGGACAAATGCATATCCTGGGCTTGGAACAGGAGGCAGGGGAACAGGGCATCCAACCCTATTGTGGTCAGGAAGCCATCTTAAATAACCATTGTATTCTTAACCATTGGCTAGTTTAGTGCTTAGCATACAAAAGGCTCGCAACAATTGTTTGATGAGTTAATGAGCACAAGGCTGTACGCGTGGGTCTAGTGTGTCTCTTGCAGCGGTCCCCCCCCCCCCCAATGTTGAAGCCTGTTTTGCTTTTTTCTTTTTAAACCCGAAGAATTCACTCTCTTGGGCCAGAAATCTGTGGCCCAGGCAAAGGGCTCCTGGAAAGATGGGATGGGGATCGTGGACTGGAGAGAAGGGGCAGGGAGCGGGTGCCAAACTTGGAAAGAGTGAGGGAATGCAGTCGGAGACGTTAAGGGGATGGGAGAAAGAGCCTAGCGGCCCGGTTAGGCTCCAGCAGGCTCACCCTCGTAGCGGAGGGCCATGCCTGCAGCTGCCCCGCTGCTATCTGTAGTGAACTCCACAAAGAAGTGTCTGCCGGAGCTGAGCAGGCCCTCAATGGGCAGGTATTCCACCTCATAGGAGTCGTACACCGGTGGGGCCTCCACGTTGTTCCCATTGCGGATGATGAGCCTGCGCCGGAAGAGCGGCAGCTATGCGGCTGGCGCCCCCTCCCCCAACAGGGCATCGCCAGGTCGGGCGCTCCCCTTCGGGCAGTCCAGCCTCTCACCTGTCGTCATCTTCTGCCAGGGAGACCTTTTCAAAGTGCAGGTGCAGCCGCTGGCTCTCCGGCGCCTCCAGCAGCCAGTGGCAGGTGAGGTTATTGCTGTAGTTGCCCGGGAAGCCAGGAGAGACGATGCGGCCGGTGGTGGCGTTTCGAATCACTCCGCCACAAGCCGCTGTGGGTGGCGATGGACCGGCTTGGTCTCTACACTTGTTCGAAGCAGCCTCCCAAACCTCTTCCCCATCCCAGCCTCGTACCCTCTGCAGGGCAATAGGGACTTTGTCTGGACACCATCTTTGCCGTGGTAGCTCTGAAAACCAGCCTTGCAGTCCAGACGCCGCAGCCCCAAGCAGCCCAAACTTCAGAATCTCACCTACTCACCATCCGCATCTCTGAGCCCTTACCTGTAGCTTTCTTGACTGTGAGCAGAGCAGCTACTGCCTGGCTTCACGCAAGCCTTTCTTCCCTCTACTGACCGGCTCTGATTCCCCAGGCTTCCTCTCTAATGTTAAAGCTCTTACGTTAGACTCTGCCTTTCTTGGATATAGCTGATACTTTTAGGCCACTCTGTCCATCCTCCTCTCCTTGTTTTCTTGTGTTCTTCTTCTCTCCTTCCCTCCTTCTCTTTTTCTTTATTTTATTTTATTTTTACCTCAGGGACTCCAAGCTGGCTTGAACTTCTGATCCTCCTACCGCCATCTTTTATAAGAGATGTCTTATACTTCCTCTTTCTTATTTATTTATTTATTTATTTATTTATTTATTTATTTATTTATTTATTTTTATTTTTTTGGTGTTGGTTTTTCAAGACAGGATTTCTCTGTGTAGCCTTGGCTGTCCTGGACTCACTTTGTAGATTGGGCTGGCATCAAACTCACAGATATCTGCCTCCCTGAGTGCTGGGATTACAGGTGTGCACCACTGTACCTGGGTTCTTTCCTTCCTCCCTCCCTCTCCTCCTTCTTCCTTCCTTCCTTCCTTCATGTCTCTTTTTCTTTCTTTCTTCTCTCTGAAGACAGGGTTTCACTGGAACTTGCTATGTAGACCAGGATGACCTTGAACCCAAAGACCCACCTGCTTCTGCCTCCTGCGTGCTGGAGTTAAAAGATGTGCCACCGCACCTAGCCTTTCGTGTCTCCCCGTGTAGCCCAGCCTAGTACGGAACTTGCAGTCAGTCCTCTTGCTTAGCACCTACACTGCTGAGATGACAAGCATGTCGCCATGCCCTGCTACTCTTTCCTTGCTTCTTAAAATTAAAACTAATTTTCTGGCTTGCCTAGCATGATAACAGGCCTTGGATTTGAAGCCCAGAACATACATAAAACAGTTCAGCCATCTGTTTGGGTCCGTCCCTTAGCTGGGACCCTGTTGGGACAGAGACCGTGTCTTTCAGGGAAGGCCTAGAGTTGGTTTTCGATGTTGGATGAGCAAAATGAATGCATGGATGTGGAGAAGAGGCAGGACAGTCAGGGCTGATTCATGCCAGGTGGCATAAGATACCTTCTGTAGTAGCTCTCCAGACATCACTATACTGTCATTCCTTGACTGGCTGCTAAGGAATGCTCAACACTGACCCCTCTGGCCTGGAACTGCCTTTTTTTTTTTTTTTTTTCTTCAAGAAAGGCTGAGCTGCTTGTCTGGGCCCAGCAGTGGGGGCTTCTGGGCCATTCAACCACAGAATTCATAGAAGGTTAGGGGGCTGAGGAGATGCCTGAGTCAAACAGCGGTTCTTCCCCCAGAGCCTCGCAGTTCCACAGTAAGAAATGTAGGTTGCCTCAATACCACTGAAATGCATGACCATCTTTTAGCTTCCTTATAGAAAATAACTGAAAGTCCCAGACAGCAACGGAGATCAGAGATGACCCCCACTTTGTTCCTCTCTTTGGCAACGAGCCTCCTCTGTAGGGACCCACTCACCAATGCAGACAGGCTCTTGGGAGTCCCAGAAGGGCTGGGTGGCATTGAGACAGGTGAGGAAACTGGCACCCTTCAGCTGGTAGCCGGTGGCACAGTGGAAGTGGGCACTGCCTCCTGGGTGGAGGCTGGTGACAGTCACATCACCATAAGCTGGACGTCGGGGAAAGTGGCAGCTCAGAAGATAGGCTATGGAGAGAGAATGGGTGACAGTGAGGAAGGGGAGGGCCTTCCCAGCCTGCTCCAGGTGTCTTTGGGCTCAGAGGAAGCATTGGAAGTTTCCCAAAAGCCTTCCCTTTGCTTCCTTGTAGAGGGTAGGGGGCGTTGGTTAGCAGAACAGCAGAGAACTGGGAGCTTGAAGACAGGTTCTGATTCAAGTCCAGTGACACACTGGGCAGCCTACTTAAGCTTTCTCTCTGTGTTTCTTTACCTCCTCCTCTTCTTTCTTCTCCTTCTCTTTCTTCTCTTCCTCCTCTTCTTCTCCCCACCCCCAACTTTGTACAGCCCTGGCTGCTCTGGAACTTGGTCTGCAGACTAGGCTACTCAAAACCAGAGATTCACCTGCCTCTGTCTTCCAAGCATTGGCTGTTTCCTTGCTTCTTAAGTGAGCTTGGAAATGCTTGCTAGGTGTGAAGGCACACATGTGGCCTCTGGGGTACTGAAGCCAGAGAGTCTTGGGTTCAAGGTCAGCCTAGGCTATGTTGTTAGGCCATGTCTCAAAATCAACCAAACAATGAAACCAAACCATTCGGAAGTTGACACCAGCTGATAACAAATCTTCTAGAAGTCTTGGTGTATATAGCTCAGTGGTAGAATATTCCCCTATGTTTGAGCCTCATTGCTAAAAGAGAAATATTATAGATGACTTGTAGCCATTATTTTTCCTGTAGGAAGCAAACAAGAATTTCAGGAGAGACTGAAGTCAGACAGCGGAGGTCTCCTTGGTATTCCCAGAGAAGTTTTACAAAGCTTAATGGCAGCACTAAAGGCCTCTTCGTTTGTTTTTGAAAATTTTCTTCTATTTTTGAAATTATAATGTAATGACATCACTTCTCATTTCTCTTTTCTCCATCCAATCCCTCCTACATACCCCTCCTTATTCACTTTCAAATTCATGACCTCTTTTTTATTAATTGTATAAGTATATGCATATATTCTTTTTAAAGGTTTATTATTATTTTAAGCTTTACTTACAATATATTCTAAGGTTTACTTATTTATGCTTATGAGTGCTCTATTTGCATGTATGCTGGCATGACAGAAAAGGGCAATCAGATGGTTGTGAGCTACCATGTGGTTGCTGGGAATTGAACTCAGGACCTCTGGAAAAGCAGCCAGTGCTCTTAACCACCAAGCCATCTCTCTAGCTCCTACATATGTATTCTTAAATATGACCTGCTCAGTCTGTATAATGTTTCATGTAGGTATGTTTTCAGGGCTGACCATTTGGTCTTGGAGAACCAATTGCTGTGTTCTTCCCTAGGGAAGACTATTTCTCCCTGCTCTCGAAATCCCTTTATTGTGTAGGGTCGAGGCGGTCTTTGCCTTATCTGCTTTGGCTTATCTATTGTTGTCCTTGTTCAATTCATGTTTAGACAGTCATGTTGGTGAGGCTTTATTAGTGTAGCTTCTAATAACACTAAGAGACACAGTCAGTAGGCCAGCAAAGGACTTTTAAAGACATTGGGATGGGTGTGAGAAAGCCACACTCAGTTTCTTGGAAGCTGAGGGTGGGATTAGCCACTCTGGGAATCCTGGTAGCTTCTGCAGGTGTCATACCGTTTATGACCACATTGTGGCAGCAAATCCCATAAAATTGCCTGGTAAACCCCAACCCTTAGGCTAACCCCCAGAAAAAGCTTATAAACAGGGAGTCTGGCTCCGGTCTAAGAGGTAGGTACAATGCCTGGAGCAGACAAGGAGAAAAGTGAAGAGAAGGCGTGGCTATGTCTCTGCATGCCTTTATGTGAATAGAAAAAGGGACTGCCTTTGGACAAATGAGTTCCCAAAGCTTGAGGTCAGCTGTGACTCAGTTGGGAAGCTTTTCACACCTGTCTTTTTGCTAGTTACTATGTGAAAACAAGAAGAGAGGCTTGAGGGTATGACCAAGAAGAGGCTAGTTGTGATTGGCAGGTGATAGAGGGCAACACTTAGGAGATGGGTTCTGGGGTAGATCCCCTGGGTTTGAGAGCAGCCCCTGGTGCCTGCTGTGCCACCTTGGGTAGGCTACCTTTTCCTCGCTTTCTTTGTCTAACCGGTGAGCTAGAGTACTTCACCCAATGCTGGGGGCGAGAGGTAGGGCCTCACACAAAGCACACACCTAGCCCCCCACCCCACCCCGAGCTGGCTGTTAACATTTGCAGTCGTGAGGACTACCATCCTACATTCGCTGTGCTTTCCAGCTCCTGACGTGCCTTCACACCCTTCACACCCTTCTCACTCAGCACCTACAATATACTTGGAAGAGGGAGGGTAGGGTGGGAGCCATTAGCCCATTTAATGATAAGGAAAGCTGAGGTTGGGAGAGACTGAGGTTCAGAGAGCCCGTGAACCTTCATCATACTGCAAGTGTTTGGTAGGGTAGGGATTTGAGTTCCTGGCTCTCCATGCCCTCAGCCTCCTACCTGGCCCCAGTTAATATGGAACCCTGGCCTGAGGAGTCCGAGAGACCTGAGAGTAACAGACAAGGCTGGCCTTGGAGGTTGTTCAGCGTGTCACTCACTCCCCCTGGGCTAGGCTAGGGAGGACTATACCCCATAGATGGGTGAGGAGCTGTCACCCTGGAAGCCATAGGCCAGGTGTCAGACTCAGCACCTGCACTGTCATCTTCTCTGTGAGTCCCAGCACAACCTGGGAAGGGAGTGGGCTGGGATGACGTGAAAGCAGGAGGCTGGTGGCATTGAGAGGCGCCCCCAGACTCCATCATGGGTAAGTGCCACTTCCCAAGATGAGCTTCCTCCTATTGCCATGACAACCAACCGTTCCCAGGGAGTCTGCACCACCACAATCTGTTGAGTTATTTTCTTGCTGGCGGCTGTTGCTAGAGCCAAGTCCAGTGCCAGGAATACTAGGACGGAGAGAGGAGGAGCCTATCAGACAGGCTGCCTTCCCACCCGGACTGGGCCTGGGCCAGAGGAATCTATTCAGCCACAAGGATGTGTGGAAGCTGATAATCGTGACCTCCTTCATCAGCTTGGACATGGCCTGCACGGAGATGTGGTTCCCAGGCCCTTACTCACTGTCCTGGCACCCTGTCTCTCCAACCCACGAGAAGTGCCTGTGAGCACACGCTCCTCCTGTTCCCATCTCTGGGATCAGGGCTAATTACAGTCTATAATTAGGGGAATTACACTCATTAAGGAAAGAGCTGATCATTGACAAAAACTGGGCAGAGGAGGGAGGGCTTCTGGGACAAAGAGGCAGAGCGGGCCAGCTCTCCTAGTCTCTCTTAGGGATCTGCTCCCCCTTGATAGGCCTCTGGCCCCATTGCATTCTGCCACTTTTGTCTGGCAGCACAAAGAGGGAACTGGAGTTTTGTGCAAAGGAATTTGCTGCAAGAGAAAAGGTTACTGTGGCATGAAATTATGCCTGCTGCTGAGGGGGATTGATGAGCCATTAGGGAGGCTGGAGGGGGCCGCCCAGATGGTCATCCCTGCCCCAGGTGGGGACCTGCCTCTGCTGAGGGCCTGAACAGCCTCTGCCTACCACTAGGGTTCCTGCTGTCATATACCAGGCTGCCCCCCCAGTCTGGGTGGCAAAGCCTTGACAAGGTGAGTAGACAGGGTCGGAGCATTCCTATCTCCAGAGCTCTTGCCCACCGTCAGCTCTTCCCCCCCTACAGAGCTGCCGAAGTGGTCTGTGCCATTGCAAGACAATGCCTTAATTGTTCCTGCCAATTATTTCCCTATTAGCGTTTCCAGGTCTTGAATTAAAGTAAACCTGTGCAAAGGATGGAGGTGACTTCCAGCCCAGGAAGGGGATGGGCAAGAAGGAACGCTACCGGGGAGACGGCAGCTTTGCCTTCCTCCCTCATCCTGCAAAACATACAACATTAATTTCCTGAATGGAGGGCATGCTAATCACTTTTTGTTTAATCCAAACTGTAACTTTGTGGTATAGATAGTTCAGCCTTATTTTACAGCAGGGAAGCGAGGGTCAGAGAGTGATGGCCTCTGAAGAGCGGAGAAGGGAAAAGAATGCGTAGACAGCAGTGGGAAAGCAGCTCCAGCCCTTCTGTAAACATTCCTTTCTGCTGGCATGGCAGCCCAGGCCTGGACTCTAAGCTCAGGCTGAGGCAGGAGCGTTATAGTGAGTTTGAGGTCAGCCTGAGCCACAATACAAGACAATGGTCGGTCAGAGGGCTTGTCGGGGAAAGGTGTCCACTGCCAAGCTTGACGACCCCTGAACCTACATAGTAAAAGGAAAAAAACGACTCCTGCCCAGTTGTCCTCTGAGCATCACTAGTCTGTGTGTGTGTGTGTGTGTGTGTGTGTGTGTGTGTGTGTGTGTGT